CAAAGATTGACTATATGTATAAATGCCTTAGATATTAATCACATGTTTAGAGAGTGAGTGAGAGAAAGAGAGATAGAGTATATATGTGTAAGTTTGTGAGTGTGTGAGAGAGAGGGGGGCAAGAGAGGAAAACAGGGGGGGAAAGAGAAACAGAAAGAGAGTGAGAGAGAGAGAGAGAGAGAAAAAAATAGAGAGCGTTCAAAAGAAACAGAGAGAAAAGGGGAGGGGGAGCGAGAACAGAGAAGAAAGAGAGGGAAAGAGAGGGAAGTGAAATAGAGAATGATAAAGGGAGACAGAGTGTGAGAAACTTATGGAGAGCGAGAAAGATAGAGAAAGAGGGGGAGAAAGAGACAGAGAAAGAGGGGGAGAAAGAGAAAGAGAGAGAGCAAGAGATATAGAAACGGAGAAAGAATGAGAGAGAAAATAGAGAGTGTTAGAGAGAAAGAGAGAAGGGGAGAGAGAGACAGACAGTGGATAGTGGGAGAGAAACATATTAAGAGAAAGATAGAGAAAAGGAGAGATAGAGCACGAGAGAGATATAGAAAGAGAGAGAGATAGATAGTGAACGAGAACGAGAGAAAGAGATAGAGTGTCAGTCTAGACTGAATAAGATAATGATATCCTCAGGCCTAATCTGACTGGTATGCGACAATGGAACAAGAAAACAATTATCAAGTTGAATAATTTTCCTTTAAAAAAATTCATTAAAAAGAGAAATTTTAATATACATGTATAATGGAAAGTAGATGACAATTTTTGCTAGCATATCAAGAGCATGTAAGAGAAACCTCATAGACAAAACGGTGATACAGGCCTACTTTTCCTCTTAGATTTGTGTTATTTTGTATAAAATTTCAAACAGATACATATTTTATTTACCATAATCATTTCAGAACTGGCCTGTGCACAAGTAAACTTTATGTTTGAATATTCCTTTCAGAAAGTTCTTAAAGAAAATTCGTTCATGAAAGTTCTTTAGCTTTAGTGACAGTTCCTTAAGAAAACACT